GGTCATTTGAATTGAAGTTCTTGAGTAAGGAAATGATTACTCTTGCAATGCACATTTTCTGAGTTAATGTGCTAATTAAGAGTTATTGCCCTAGATTTGATGATAACTATGAAGTCATTATGAACATCTTAAAGTGGCATTCTGCTTTTTTTAAAAAAACATTTTCATTATCATTACATATATTTCTAAAGTATGCTAAATTTATCTATGTATCTACTTGATCAAGCTGAATGGGTTAGTTAAAAACAGGGAGTACTAATTGTTAATTAAGCAGTTTGACCCAGTTTTGGTAATTGGCTTTATAATGGCTTGTTATATTCAGTTAAAATTTCAGATACATTATAGGATACATTTCACAAATTTGAGCAAACAATTTTAACAACCTACAACAGGGCAGAATGTCCTTTTAGATATGAAAAAAGAGGGTGTATGTTTCCATGTTTGGCATGCTAACTTTGCCACGGATAAAAAAATATTTAAACTAGGATCCTTTCTACTACCTGGTTTTTGGCCAATCAATGAATAAGGAGAAAAGATAAAGATTAGATTATTGAACTTTGTATATGAACCAATGAAACATAGTGACAAGCAGGTTACTGTATCAAAGGCTCAATGATATCTGACTTGTAAACACTTGATAAATCAATTACCACCAAACATGGTGACATGAGTAATGGTCTACTGTATGAAAGGCCCAATGACGTTGGACACACTTTATAAATCTAGGACTTCTGTCAACAGGTTACCGTATCGAAGGTTCAATGATGTCGGACTCTTAATGGCTTTATAAATCCAGATTGATTGCCACTGGCTACTGCATCAAAGGTTCAATGATATCAAACTCTTAAGCACTTGATAAATCTAGACTTATGGCAACTGGCTTCTGAATCAAAGGTTCAATGATGTTGGACTCATAAAAACTTGATATATACAGTCTAACTATTGACACCTGCTTTAATTGAATTAAAATGTTTATTTCCAGCCGTCAGGTCTGCGGGAACTCAATAGCTGTCTTTACTATTGGGTTTGACATACACCACACACAGTTAGATGATCAACATAGCACGGTCAGTATACAAAGTTTATAAATTCCACTTTTGCGTCACAAATGTCTATCAGTCTGTGAAAATTTTGACGAAACTTGGTGTGTTTATTATCTTTTATGGATGGACACTATTGAAGATCAAGTTATTGCCCTTGTGTTCGAAGTGTTCAATTGTAGCTTGTAAGTACTTAAGAGAACAGATTTATACCAAATTATCAATATTTGACAGACAAAAAAGTTCAGAAAAAATGTATGACGAATGGTTGAATATTTAACACTGGTGATTGTTACTATTCTTCCAAATATTTTAATTTGAAAATACAGCTGCCAGTGGGCATATATCACCTTGCCTGGAAAGCTATCTTTGATGAGATGCAGTACCTATTAAATGAGCTTTATACTGTAAAATCTGATTTCCCTTTGTTATTGATGCAGGTGGGAGGGCCGGATATGGAAAAAGTTTCTAGTCGATCGGATGTGGCAATAAACCAAGGCCCTGTGTGCTACAGAAATCCGTGTAAGTTCAGAATAATCTGTGTTAGAAGGATGACTGCTATTTACAAAAAAGACATACCGGTATATAGAAAGAGAAATGTCCAGTTTGAGGTACCCAAATCAACCTCTGAAAATGGCTAATGTGTCATAAAAAAAAAATTTCCATAACTAAAATGTTGTTTCTCTTCCAGGGTTCCAAGAAAAAGTAGCTGGTCTGAAGCTACAATAGGACATTTAAACTGGGAGGTCAATTAGGTTATGGTGGAGCACAAATGTCCCAAAGGCAACTCTTGGAACA